CCCTAAGGAGCCATTTCAGTCTCTTGTGTGAATTTACATTTATGAATGTTTTTATAGAATGCATATTATTTACCCAATAGGCAGCTCTGCCATAAGAAATGCTACAGCTGATTGCCAATTTAACTTCACATGGGTTTCCATGCAATGGTTCCTGAGGTTTGCTTTCAGGGCTAGGCGTCCATAAATAGTCCTTCTTTTCAGAATCCTGTGAGTTGAGACCTATGAGCAGTTCAAATGAAGGAATTTTCCAGTCTGCTTTGTTAGTTCTGGGGATTTTAATATCATATAAAAGAGGTCAGGATATGTCTCATCTTAGAAGATGAAATAACTATCAGCACTAAATAAGTCTATAAAGAATATGTGTGTAATTGCCTTGTTTACTGTGTGATCTGAAGTCAATATTCACAAAATAAAGATGACCATCTCTGGAGGGAGATACTTAAAAAGTAAACTTCATTTGTTTTTTAATTTCTTCTTTCCTTCTGTGTCAGGATAAAATCTTTTCTGTTCTGGCTATTTTCATTGATATATCAATAAATGCCCCCTTTACAGTCAACATCCAGAGTTTACAAAGGGGGTAAAGATTCGCTGCTAATACTGACACCATATGCAGAATTTACAAATAGAATCTGATCCATGAGTTCTGTTCCTTTCATTCAGATCTGAAACACAAGCAGGGATCAGGAGAAAAATTAAAGAGAACACACTAGTGAGAAGATTTCTCTAGGCTGAAAATCCCTATTCGTTCTGTTGAATTGAGGTGCCACTTTCTAACCCCAAATTGGAGAGACACTGTGATAGCCTGAAAATATGTTTATGTGGGAGAAACAAGGATTTGGTGCTGGTCATATAAAGAAATTAACCTAGGTTGGAGATCAGATTCCACCCAGACAATGCAGAGAGCTGAATGGCTCCTGGGCTATTTTGATAGAGGACCCTGGAGGCTTTTGCTACATTGACACCCTGCAATTCTGCAGTTGTCAGGGAAATGATGGGTATAGTGTATCATATCTCATGCCCTGATGGGGTCATGCTATATAGAGAGAAAGCATTGTCAGGTGGTACCAGTCCTATTTGATAGTCTAGAAGTGTAAAATTGGATGTGCCAAGGGCATAATTCTAAACAACCTTCAGGCTACAAGTTCATCAGGTCAAGGTCAAGTAAACAAAAGTTCTAGTAAGAGAATCTTGGAGGGAATCATGACTAGCTCAGACACAAAGGTGAACTTGTGCAGGCACACAGCTAGAAGCTCTCCAGCTGCGTTACAAAAGTGCTCTCACCGTTCTCTTCCTTTGATGACAGAAGTTGACAGGATACCGAAGCTGAACTACTTCATGGTAGATTGTAAAATTTGTCACACCTTTTCTCTATATATACACATGCCTTGGAAATTTCGGTATTACAATGTCATCCAAAACTATAGCTTCTTCTACTTCTATCTACTTCTTTTCTTTAGATTGTTTTGGTGATTTGTTTTGACCAAGTCTTGAAAAAGTGGTAAGTCATGTTTTATATGCTTTTGGGGTTTGTCTTCTCCTGCTATAAAATCCTGTGACCACCACCCTGTGAAGAGAGCCTGAGTCAGCCTTTTAAATCACAAGAGGTTTGCGTCCATGAGACTAGTGAAAGAGTCACCTCACTGAACTCAGTTCAAATGGCTGATTTCAAAGGATTTTGAACAAATAATGATTATTGAGAGTCCCTGCTTGGCGCAATTTGTTATATGGCAAGAAGTAAGTGACGGGTGCCTCTCTGTCAGATTTTCAGTGAAAACCAGGACTCAGATGAGGAAGAGGAGAATTTCAATACATTTGTGGGTCTAAACACTTGAATTTCTGAATCAAGAGTATATTTACAAATAAATATGACCATAGGAAATTCTAGTAACCAAGAACCATTGGCCTGCATAAATTCTACTTATGTTAGGGAAGAATCATTACTCCCAATAAATAAAGTTCAAAGAGATGTTAAAATATAAAGCTGAAACTGCACTTTTATCAAAATCCATGTATGGACTGTTTTAGCACATTGATTGCACTTTCCTAAATCTTTGTTCCAGATCCAATATGACCTCAGAACCAAATATTAAACCTGTGATGCAGGGCTGACAGCAAAGCCAACACATCTAATTCATCTTTACTGAAGACATTTGCCAAAATAAGGATGCCTTAGATAACTACCATTAAAAAGCCTCTAATAGCCCAGCTCTAACTACGTTTACTATTTTTATTAGCAGAGAGATAGAGAGACGATTTCTAGAAAAATGTTGTCAGGAGAAGCCTGATTGACCCAGGTTCCCACTGGAAATAAACGTGGGCTATATGGATATATAGGTACGTGATGAGCTAGAGAATTGGTAGAGGAAGAAATGGCAAAATGCAAAATTGAAATAGTTCACACTATGGGCATGTTCTACATGCAGTATGAACTCACAAGCCACTCCTGAACCAGATTGTTTCCCTGGTGACAGAAGGGGGGCTTGAGTAGGGAAGTAGTGGGGCGGTCTCTCACAGAAGCAGCCTTTGCCTATTTAGTGCTCTGAATTACTAGGAAAATCTAGTGCTGAGTCTGTTTTAAAACTAGTTCCTTTTGTTTTATGACTTCTATTTGGAGACCTCTGACATTCCAAGGGAATACAGAAAGCATGGGTCACATCTGCTGCAGGACCAAATCACTGTGCAACCACTGGCAAGACACTTCAATTATCCACATTTTATGGCAACTTTAATAGTCTTAAATAGACATATCAATCAAGCAAACTCACTGGGATAATGTGAACATCAGATGAAAATAAGTGACAAATATTTTTCTAAAATATTTATTTGTAATTTTTAAGATGTATGAACATTTTCCTTACATGTATATGTAAGCGTACCATGTATGTGCAGTCCCTGTGGAGGGCAGAAGAAGGCATCCGATCCTCTGAAACTGGAGTTACTGTTAACCACCACGTGAGTGCTGACAATCGAACCTAGATCTTCCATGACCCATGCTGGGTAAAGGCTATCCAGTGTGCATACCCTCAGGTCATACATACACCTCAGCAACCCCTCAGTTATCTAGAAACCTTTGAGAGAGAACTGACACTGATTCTAACTACCCCAACAGCTATCAAAATACCTGAAAGCGAATCCTGAATCCATCACTCTAGAGTCCAGCCTTGAAAGACAAAAGAAAAATGAGGAAGAATCCAATAGAGGGATGCTTTTGGAAGCCCTTGTTAAGAAACTCCAATGGACTCTCATGTGAACATTTGAAAATTGCTGTTCTGACTTTCTTCTAGTTCCCTGTCTAGAACTTGTAATGCTAATTACTCTTGCCTTTACATCTCTATCACATCTCCTATTCACTATTCAAGGACTTTCTTTTCCCCTTAGAGATAAGAGTTATGCAATTTGGGAGTCTTTTAGATAGACCCACTGAAGGAGTACTCCAATTGCCTCTCCCTGCATCCCTGTTCAGCATGGAAGAAGCCAGAACAGTCTGCGTTCCTATTCCGTATTGGCAATTTGGGTAACCCCTTCAGAGAATGGTATGATAAGAAAAGGAGGTTTGGCCAGGCAGTTAGGGTAAAAAGACCCCAAAGAAATGTAGCCAGTTTCTTGTCTAAAAGTCAAAATGTCCTTGGGCCTGTTAGCAACATACTCTGTTCCAAAGGCCAAAAATGTTATTTAGGAGTTTTTATCTAATCCTTAAAAGATTTTAGGGTTACCTCTTCAGAGGGGGGAATGTTAGAGTATCCAAAAGCCCCATAAAAATAAATAAATGAAAGAAGGAAAAAAAAAGAAAAAAAAGTGATGTGGAGATATGGGAGGTGTTGGAAGGGAGGGAGTGGGCATGGATTTGATCAAAACATCTTATATGCATGTATGAAATTCTCAGTAAAGTTTTTGTAAAAGTTAAAAACAAATTAAAAATATTTTTAAAATGATAAAAACAGAACAGCCAGTACTCTTGACCTCTGAGTCATCTTTTCAGTCCTGTGCAAGCAATACTTTTAAATATTATGACGATGAATACAAGCATGAGTGATCAAATTGCTACAGAAATCTACACATAAGGGTGGACCGGCCTGTGACCCAGCACTAAGGTTCTGCCATCAATGACTGCAAGTGCAATGTTCAGTCCCCTGGAGAGTTTATTCATCGTAATCCTGATGGATCTTTCTACTTTCTCAAGTATCTAGCCCGCACCATGCCCTTTATATACAAGGAACTCCTAGCTGAGTTGTTTTCCTCCGATTACAATAAGAGAAAGTATTTGACAGGCTCCTGAATTAACTGATTTCTGAGAGATTTCAGAGCTTCATTGAGTTTAATAAATTCATTGTTAATTTGCTTTTTCCTACATGGACTCAATTTTTTTTCAAAAAGAGTATTAAGTTAAAATGATCTACATACTATTTAACATGTCCGTAGTTTATTTTCTGAGTACTTAGCAACAAGGGAGGAACTCTAGGAACAAGTATGAAATTAAGCCAAATGCAGCCTCATTTTATAAATTAACAGAACTTAGATATTTTGTGTGGTTTATTCTTAATATAATTCAGTGTAGACATTGGCCAAAAAGAGAAAGAATCAAAGGGAAGGAGAAATAAGTGATCATTGGTAGGACACTGCCAATCAGTCATTTGATGACCCAGTTCTATCCTAGTATTTCCTCATCTCCCTTCCCTCAACTCTGAGTGTATACAGAAAAGAAGAATGCATCTTTGCAGATATGTTCGTAAACAGTCAGATGGCACCTTCCTGATCTTAGGTAACATGAACTGTTACTTTCAGAGAAACCTTTGTTGTCTTAATGAAAGAGGTGGGTGATGCTGTTCCCAGGCTGCCCCTTGTCTTCCTGTCCCAGGTAAGATGCTCAGCTGTCTATTGGCTGAAAAGTTAAGCACGATAATGAAAAGCAGATGTGGAAGAGGAAGCACGGTCACACAACAGCACCATGGCACCCGTCAGGGACTTGCTATGAGGTGAAAATAAAACCAACTTGTATTTACCTCATCCATGAATAGCTGGGTTTTCTGCAATTTGCAGCTGGAAAAAATAAAACAAAATGCTGAGTATATTGTAGTAAACATGAGAAAGTAGGAATGTATCATGTATAAGAAGTTATCCGAGCCTAAGTAACAAAGTAACAAGATTTTTGGGAGGAATCCTACTAACAAGTGTTAGGAAAAAAGCTTTCATAAAGATGATTTTTACTGGAATCATCATTAAATATGCCACATTTCTCTTCTAGCGAGGTTACATAAAGTGAGATGATGCTTCAACCTTAATATAATGCCATTAGCTCATTGATCAGAGGATCAGGAATTCAAACATATGAAATAGCTGCCAGTCATCTGGTTTTGACCAACATAAATGACAATCAACATAGGGCTCAGCATCATGTACAGTACTGCCTCCACAGTGTAAGGTGTTTCTGGAACCTGGCAACTGCTAAATGTATCTCAAGACACTGGGAATAATATTTGAAATTTTTACTTATTTGTTTGTGTTTTGAATAAATAAGAATTCTAGTCAGCTTGGTTCCCTGAAAATCCCCTTTGTTATGTGAAAGCTTAGCAAAACTTTAATTACACGTTGGGACTTCACAGACATATGCCAATGTAGCAAACAGACATACTCTCAAGTCTTTCATTGATCAGAATCTGATAATTGAACATGAGTTTGTACATGTAAATAACATACATTTGCTCGCCCATATGTACATACATGTACATCTCATAACAGTACTGCTCAGGCCAACCCACCTTAATTTTCAGACCGCACTATAATTTCTTCAAAATGAGAATTTAAAAATTTCTTCCAAACCTATTAAATGTCAGCAATAGTAACATCATCATAGATAAGACATTTAGTAGCATTTAGTAATATTAATTTTTATTTAAATATAACAAATATTATTAAAGTGCTTTTTGGACAATATACTCAGTTTTAAAAGCTGTCTGAAATGTCAAAAATAATGCGTTTCCTTTCATTCCGTGTAATTTTTCATTGAATTCAAACTTTTAAATAAATCTTCCAATATCTAATGTATCATATTATCAAAGCACAAAAAACCCATTATATGATTATAAGAACCTCAGAACTCACTGTCTTCGAATTTAATGGACTCCCAATGCTTTTTCCCCCTGCAAAGACTGTTTTTAAGACATTTCACAGTATTTTATACATTATAAATGGATTCCATTCTTGGCTTAGTAATTCACCTAATGGACAATGGATACAAAAAGCTGTAACTCCAGGGACATTAAATTGGTTCTAAACTCTGAAAATTACAGCTTTTACAAAAAGAAGAAAATACTAAAAACATGTCTAATGCAACACTGCATCTAATTTTCCACTACCTCCAGATTGTGTCTAAAAGCTCCTAAACTTCTTAATGACACAATACGTTAAAATTGCGTTCCTTTGTATTTAGATATCAGAAAGATCTCAGCCATGCTATAACCCCACAGAGGGCTTACCAGCAAAGAGGCTCTGTGCGTGTGCTGCAGACAGGGTAGAACAAGAATCCCAAGAGACTGAAGTAGGACACAAGCACTTTGGGACGGCATCTTTTTCACTCACCGTGGAAATTAAATATCCACATTTCAATGGTATTAAAGAGACAGAAGAAACAGTTTTTCTAGACATATCTACGATCATCTCTAAGTCCTACGAGCAGCTTGAATTTCTTGATCCATTTCCATTCAGAGAATATAAGCTAAATCTGTAGCTAAACAATACGTTCAAGCAGTGAGAATAGAGCAGTTATTCAATTGAATTCTCAATACAAAATGCTTCACAGTTCTTCACTTCACATATAAAACAGTATATCTGATCGTGGAGAGACAAGATAATGCTTATCGTAGAGTTAATTGGCTAAGTTCTGTGAGCTGTTCTCATTTCACAGAGGACTCTTCACTCTCCTTATATTCCCTTGTCTTTAAGAAATAAATGGTTCAGAAATATTACTGTGACACATATCCTTTGATTTAATTACTTTATGGTTTTCTCTACAATTTTTTTTTTTTTTTTTTTTTTTTTTTTTTTTTTTAGTCCTGGAACTCACTATGTAGACCAGGCTGGCCTCAAACTCACAAAGATCTGCCTGCCTCTGCCTCCTGGGTGCTGGGATCAAAGGCGTGCGTCACCACACCCACCTTCGCTTTTATGATGCGGTACTTTCTTTCTCCAAATAATTGTGCTCTTGTTAATTTTTCTGTCTTTGCAAATAGCTAACACAGGCATGGAGAATGTCTGTCCTAAGTGTACCTCTGACATCATGGTTGTATAACCTCACCCTGATTATTTCTAGTTAGGAAAGCACTTCTCTATTCTAGATCTTACTCACCTCATTTAACTGCTGCTGCATCTATGAGGGTTTTCACACCATTTAGAGAATCTGTTCTTTTTTTTTTTATAATTAAAACCCTTTGGCCTTTTAGATAAATATAAACTCTACCTAACAATGTTATTGTTTCAAGAGAAATTTAGATTATGCCATTTGCTACCTTGACTTTACCACTGTATCCTTGTAATAATTAGTAATTTTCCTTCTTTCTTTGATGATAAAGCAAACAATGTTTCTCAGATTTAAATTCCAGCTTCTTTCTTACTTTCCACCTATTCTTTCTTAAAGGCCGTATGCCACCCTCCTGCTCTCCAGGGAAGCATTGATCTTACTGAGATGTTACATGTTCTTGTTAGAGGTACTCTTTTCTTCCCTTGATCTGGTTTGTAAGATTTACTATGAATGACTTCGTTCATCCTGTTCCTTGAAGCTTCCTCCGCACCTTCTATCATCAGTCACGTACACCACACCTTCACATTACATGAGGTGCCTGCACTAAACATTTCCCACCATTTTTATAGAAAGTATTTGTGTGAAAATGAATTTTAGCTCCTTTGTATTCTAGGGGTGCCCTTTCCCCTTCCAATATTACCTATCACCTAACATTGCCCTGGATTTTCCTGGATCCAAACATCTGAAATAATGTGAGTCTCTCATCACCTTGCAGCATTTTCACAGAAAGCCTTGTGAATTCTGGCCTTTGGACTTCTTCCCTGTAACTATGAATTCAGACTGGTAACCAACGAGCATTGCAGCGTTGTGATGTATTAATGTTATTTACTCCTCTTTTACTCTGCTCCCTCAAACACTTCTTTCATTCTGTCACCACTCTTCAGGTCTGCAGATAAGGACCTCAGTTAATAATGGTTTGAGTTGTTCCCACACCAAGGGAGAAATTAACATTTGAATCCAGGCAGGCCGATTTTGAAGCCCCTGCAATGTCGCTTTCTTCTTGTCTGTTCCATCTGAAGATGTGCTTGAAGTGCTTCTTCAGGCTCTAGTTTCATCTTCATTGCCTTTTATCCCCACAAAGCCACTGTGCTAACTTTCTACAACAATTCAGTGGGGAAAAACCCACGTCTTGCGGTCAGATCTAATTCTCTGCCTGCCACCCACCCACCCCACCGCAGCAGCCTTGCTTCCCCTCCCCTCCAGCTAAGAGACAGCCGTCCCTCTCAGTCATCATGCCCTTTGCCTATGACCCTCTTCTCTAAATCCACTGCCTTGAACACTCTTGCCGGTAATGCACACTCCTTGTCCACACCTGGTCGTAAGTGTAGAAACTTCCTGAAATGACTTGGCAGAATTAGTCTTTCCCTTCCTTAAGTTCCCTGAGATTTTTTTCTCTCAACCTGTATCGGTGATCTCTTTCCCTTGATTTTGAACATACCAGAGTCAGTATTGCATCCTGAAGATTTTTCTCATCTCTCCAGTGCCTCATATTTAATGTTGTTAACTAACAAGTGCTTGTCAAAATTTCTCCCCCTTCCTCACTTTTCAAATGACACCTTGTCCCTGAAATGAAAATCATATACCTGAAGATATTATCCAGGGATCTCTAAGAAAAATATTAAGACTCAGGCAGACAGAGTGTGCACCCCAGGGGTGTTAATGCCTACTTTTCCCCCTGATACACATGTGGTTCCTCTCACTGAAGGGTCTGATTATCCTCTAGCTATCCAGAACAAGTTTCTAGACTGTATTCCCAGGATTACTGGCAGCCGTGTGGCCTGAGGGTCTGGGGTTAAAACTGCTTTCCTTGTATAGTAGGAGATTATTTGTCTTTTCTACTCTTACTCATGAGCATGGAGTAGAGTCTTCTAAAGGTTACTTGATGTATGATGATACTGTCAGTGTTCAGCTAACAGAATTTGTGCTCGTGCATATTGTGTTTTATAATGTTTCAGTTTTCATTTCCAATATAGTACATATTAAATATTATACATAAAGAAATGTTTTCATAATTTTTCTTTAGTTGTTCTTTATTTTTACTTTTTGCATTTTTATTGAAATTTGTGATTTTTCAGACAATATAATTTGATGGTATGTCGATCTTCTTCTCTCTCTGCACCTCCCTTTATTGCTCCCAACCACTTTAATCTACTGTATTATATATGTGTGTGTGTGCGTATGTATATTCCTATACAAGTCTAATTTTTATCTCCACATGTCTTTCAGTGTGGGTCCATCCATTGGAGCCTCATTATTAATTTGCCTAGAGCCCCATACTTGAAAGAGACTGTCTCTGTCCCTCCCAGAAGCCAGCTGTTGTCACAGTTTCCTTAGGTGGGCTCGGAGCGTCTTACCCCTTTTCTCATGTCTATACTGGGTTTTTCAGGTTTGAACTTGCATGGGATTTGTGCATGCTGTCACCATTGCTGTGAGTTCATAGGTAACTGAGCAGCTGTCTGGAAAATCGTTTCCCTGTGGCCATCCATCACCTCGGGCTCTGACAATCTTTCTGACCCCTCTTCCACAATGATTTCTGAGCCTTGGGGGGAAGAAGTTTGATACAGGTATCCAGTAATATTATGGGAGTTACCAACAACCATTTTATTGGATTTAAGATCTTCTTTTAAGGATGGGGCCCATGCATTGATGTCAGGCTTAGGAGCCTGAGGCTAAACAGGTCATAGGACATAGGGGAAACCCTAATACTAGTTTTCTACTAAATAGTTGTCATATTAAACCAACTCTTAATAACTTATTGGTATACTCATAGATTAATGCATGTCTAAACTCTCACCACGTAATTTTCCTTATGCAACAGATGGTGAGTAGCACAGAAACCCACAACTGGCCAATGTTCAGAGAACAAGGGACTACAGGGCATCTTCCAAAAGTTTTAAGAATATAGTAAAATTTAAAAACCAACACTTTGAGAACTGGTGTTCCAACAGCATATGAGAGTGAGCCCTGAGCACACCTACACTTTCACTGTAGATTTTTTGTTTATCATACTTGAACAATGTTACCAAAAGTGTCTACTTTTGCAAAGCAATGTTGATTTGTAACTCAGAATTTTGTGGTTCTAGGGGCGACCATAAACCACCTCAGAGTTAATTCTAGTATCTGCTCAGGTATCAAGGTTAAACTGACTTCTCTGTAGGCGTGATTTGTCTTTCAGTAAAACTAAAAATGAGGATGCACTCATATTCTCTTTGTTCAGGCTCTTATAAAAACTCCATCTAATACATTGTTTGCTCTTTCTTTTTCTTAAAAAAGTCTAATTTTCAGGGACTATGGGAGCCCTGAAATAGTATCTGGTTTTGATGGCACATAGAAAGTTATAATTTCTAAATCTTGCTTTTATTTATCTAAATATACAAACATTTCTCAAAAGAATACATATTTCAGTCAGCTCCCTTGAAATCTTTACTCTTATGCGTTTTAAAATGAATTATTCCATCCTTGTGTCTTACATTTCCTTAAATTTAGTAACAGGAATATGTAAGAAAATCTATTCTAAGATGAACTTTTATGCCTTCTTTCTAATAATCCAGATTGAACATTTATGAGTTTTCTTATGCAATTTCTTCTTTCACTAAGGCACGCACAAAAAGAAGTGCTAAGATATTTCTACTTACTGGTGCTTTCTAAAAATACCATGCATGCATTTGTCTTGGCTAATCCTTCCATGTGTGGTTTCAAATGGATTATGTTATAACATTTTCTCTGGTATAAAAATCCTTTATGAGTTCTTACTGAGATATTAAAATCATATGGGATTGAAAATGCTAGTGAAGGAGGCTTGTTTCTTTTTAAGGTGATACACTATCAAGTTCAGCCTATACCCAAAGACAATATGATGGAACATAACAGAACAACAAAGAATTATGGAACTTAAAAGTTCAGTGTCAATTTTGATTGCAGGGAACCTTCAAAAGTGGTGTATTGATTTTAGCACAAAAGTAAGAAAATACATTTCTCCCGCCATTATTCTTGTGGAAATATCTTTTGACGATGCTGCAAGATTGGGTAAGGAAACGAATCTTAAAATCTGATCATGAAGTCACATTGAAATAAGTTTTGTCACTTGCAAACTTCTGGGATTGCACCTAATTCTCAAGCTCATTGCCAGGCAGGATTCCTTCACACATAGCTGCCCTTTGGGCTCTGCCAAGCCCCACACAGACATCCTGTTGTTTCTCACATCCTCTTGTAATTTGAAGAGATAAATGGTGCCAGCTGGCTTCAGTTTTACTCAAGAAAAGGTGATATTCAGCTCTTTGAGAACTTAGTACAGACCTTAGAAATCTTGCCAGGGAGAATGAAGAATAAAGTGAGTTTGTGTTCAGCTGGGGATGGGGGACATAGAGGAAGAAATACCTGAATATCAAG